TGAGTACACCCATAATATTATATATATATATATATATATTATATATATATATATATATATATATATATATATATTATATATATATTATATAATATATATATATATATATATATTTTATATATATATATATATATATATATATATATGTCGTGCCGAATATGTAATATTGGTCAATTAGCAAGAACTCATTTAAAATTAAGTCCTTTCTAAAATTTTCTCTTATACGTTTAAAAATATATTTTTTCAGTAATGTTAATGTAAAAAATTTTAATTATCACCAAAAGAATCTTAGAAAACTTACCTAACCTTATTATAAAAAGAACAATTTATTTTAGCCTAACCCAACTATATATATTTTAGATTTGTTTACAATAATTTAATACTAAACAAACACAGTGAAATATATTTTTTTCGTTAGGTTCAGAATGATTTTGGCGAAATTATTGCATACACAAATTTTCACTTGTCCTATATGGCAAGATGAACGTTGGTATTTAAGCCAAGATCGCAAGTTCTGCCTATTCGGCACGACATATATATATATATATATATATATATATATATATATATATATATATATATATATATATATATATATATATATATATATATATATATATATATTATATATATATATATATATATATATATATATATATTTATATATATATATTATATATATATATATATATATATATATATATATATATATATATATATATATATATATATATATATATATATATATGCAAAAAAACACTGTGAAAGAGTAGTGAAATTCCAAGCACTCTCGTGACTACTCACATTGTCAAGGAACTATGACAATGTGAGTAGTCACGAAAGCGCTTGGAATTTCACTACTCTTTCACAGTGTTTGTTTTGCATATTTTAAAATCACCTGTTTTGACTTATTGATATATATATTATATATATATATATATATATATATATATATATATATATATATATATATATATATATTATATATATATATTATTATATATATATATATATATATATATATATATATTATATATATATATATTATATATATATATATATATAATAGGTGGTAGGTTACTGTAAGCAGTTAAGAGGTTTTCTGAGGATAGTGAGGCCTAGGTTATGTAGGAGAGAGAGATTATTTTCCAGTAAAATTAGGCATTAAACAAGGATGTGTGATGTCACCGCGATTGTTTTAACCTGTTTATAGATGAGTTTTAAAAGAAGTAAATGTTGTGGTGCTCGGGAGAGGTGTGGGATTCAGATACATAGAATCTAATACAAAGTGGGAGTTATCGCATTTGCTTTTTGCTGATGACACTGTACTTTTGGGAAATTCTGAAGAATCGTTGCAAAGGTTGGTGGACGAATTTGGGAGGATATGTAAAAGAAGGAAATTAAAAGTGAACATAGGAAAGAGCAAGGTGATGAGGGTAATAAAAAAGAAATAGGCAATGAAAGAATCGATGTCAGACTGGAAGGAGGGAGTATGAAGGAAGTGAATGCGTTCAGATATTGGGAGTAGACTTGAAGGTGGATTGGTCTATGATAAAGGAGAACTATACAGCTGATGAACGGATAAAAGGTGGGTGATGCACTGAGAAGCTGGAGAAAAGAACGTTGTCCATGGAGGCAGAAAGAGGAATATATGAGAGTATAGTGTAGGTACCAACACTCATACATGGGTGTGAAGCATGGGTTGTGAATGTTGCAGCGAGGAGGAGGCTGGAGGCTGTGGAGATGTGTAGGAAGGTGGGAGTTGGAGGAAGTCTCGCTCGTCTCGCTCCGAGGGCGAAACGTTTTCCCAGAAAAAGTTTGTTCTATGTGTGTCTTTTTTTAGCAGTGTACACTGTTAAGCTATCATTAAGTGTTTGTTCAATATTTACAAAGATCAAGTGAAATGGAAGGGAAAAAACATGTATTTGTCACATTCTTACCGAAATGGGCGTGTGTGGGCGTGGAAGACACGACCAGGAGCACCAGCGCCGCCCACACCATGTCACGACACGGTGTCACCATCTCCCTGAAGCAAGCAGAGTAACCCCGGTGATATATTGGAGGTGGTGGTGAGCGTGGAAGCAGCCCACCTGGTTACCTGCAGCCCACCTGGTTACCTGCAGCCCACCTGGTTACCTGCAGCCCACCTGGTTACCTGTAGCCCAGCTGGTTACCTGCAGCCCACCTGGTTACCTGCAGCCCACCTGGTTACCTGCAGCCCACCTGGTTACTTGGTCGTCAGCAGCAGGTTCTGCTGTAGATAGAAAGAGAGGTCTAGAGTCACTCACAATTGTGTGTGCCGATTTTGCTTTTATTATCGTCCCTTGCTATTGTTAGGCTTTTATAAATATCCAGAAAATAACTAGATGTGTGTGTGTGTACTCACCTAGTTGAGGTTGCAGGGGTCGAGTCCCAGCTCCTGGCCCCGCCTCTTCACTGGTCGCTACTAGGTCACTCTCCTTGAACCGCGAGCTTTATCAAACCTCTGCTTAAAAATATAGAAAGCCCCTTGTTATGCTCAATAGGTCAGTGTCCCAGGATGCGACCCACACCAGTCGACTAACACCCAGGTACCCATTTTACTGATGGGGAACATAAACAACAGGCGGAAAGAAACACGCCCAATGTTTCTACTCTGGTTGGGAATCGAACCCAGGCCCTCGCCGTGTGAAGCGAGAGCTTTAACCACCAGGCTAACGCTAACGTGTGTGTGTTTGTGTACTCACCTATTTGTGGTTGCAGGGGTCGAGTCTTAGCTCCTGGCCCCGCCTCTTCACTGGTTGCTACTAGGTTCTCTCTCTCCCTGCTCCATGAGCTTTATCAAACCTCGTCTTAAAACTATTTATGGTTCCCGCCTCCACTACGTCACTTTCTAGGCTATTCCACTGCCTGGCAACTCTATGACTGAAGAAATACTTCCTAACATCCCTTTGACTAATCTGAGTCTTCAACTTCCAATTGTGACCTCTTGTTTCTGTGTACCCTCCCTGGAACATCCTGTCTTTGTCCACCTTGTCTATTCCGCGCAGTATTTTGTATGTCGTTATCATGTCTCCCCTGACCCTCCTGTCCTCTAGTGTCGTCAGGCCCATTTCCCTTAACCTTTCTTCATAGGGCATTCCCTTAGCTTGGGAAAACTACCTTGTCGCAAACCTTTGCACTTTCTCTAATTTCTTGACGTGCTTGATCAAGTGTGGGTTCCAAACAGGTGCAGCACACTCCAGTATGGGCCTGACGTACACGGTGTACAGTGTCTTGAACGATTCCTTGCTAAGGTATCGGAACGCTGTTTTCAGGTTTGCCAGGCGCCCATATGCTGCAGCAGTTATCTGGTTGATGTGTGCTTCCGGAGACATGTTCGGTGTTATACTCACCCCAAGATCTTTCTCCTTGAGCGAGGTTTGCAGTCTTTGGCCACCTAGCCTATACTCTGTCTGCGGTCTTCTGTGCCCTTCCCCTATCTTCATGACTTTGCATTTGGCGGGGTTAAATTCAAGAAGCCAGTTGTTGGACCAGATGTCCAGTCTGTCCAGGTCTCTTTGAAGTCCTGCCTGGTCCTCATCTGATTTAATTCTCCTCATTAACTTCACATCGTCTGCGAACAGGGACACTACTGAGTCTAACCCTTCCATCACGTCGTTCATCATGTCGTGTGTGTGTGTGTGTGTGTAAGTGAAGGACGATGTATATAATGAAGGTGAAGGTGGGAAGCCCAGAGTGTCGTCAGGCGGGTGAGCACAGCGAGGCTTCACCGTGGCTGCCAAGGTCAGGACGGGAGTACCGGCAGCTACCACACCCGCTACTCTTTATCAGATTCTCCAGGTTTCATGTGCGTGTTGGAGAATTGAAATCTCTTCCTGAAGGCATGTTCTTCTGACGGAGATGTATTCTCACGACCCTGCCTGAGGCCTAGCCTCCCTCATGATTACCTGATCAACCAGGCTGTTACTGCTTACACCCCGCTGACTCACATATCCTTCACAGCCTGGCTGATCTACCACACAGGGGAGGCAGTGAACCAATATCCTCCTGATGACTACCATACCTGTGCCACCAATACATCTAGCATCTCCTGATAGCAGGATGAACAGTCCTGGGCCACTGACGTTAACACATTATTCATTATGCACTTCTTCCGTCAACTAAGAATATTTTAATCACTGTTCGCGGTTTTCCTCCATTCTCATGTTCTTATGTTCTCATGTTCTTATGTTCTCATGTTCTTATGTTCTCATGTTCATATGTTCTCATGTTCTCATGTTCTCATGTTCTCATGTTCTCATGTTCTCATGTTCTCATGTTCTTATGTTCTCATGTTCTTATGTTCTCATGTTCTTATGTTCTCATGTTCTTATGTTCTCATGTTCTTATGTTCTCATGTTCTCATGTTCTCATGTTCTCATGTTCTCATGTTCTTATGTTCTCATATTCTTATGTTCTCATGTTCTTATGTTCTCATGTTCTTATGTTCTCATATTCTCATGTTCTCATGTTCTTATGTTCTTATGTTCTTATGTTCTCATGTTCTCATGTTCTCATGTTCTCATGTTCTCATGTTCTTATGTTCTCATGTTCTTATGTTCTCATGTTCTCATGTTCTCATGTTCTTATGTTCTCATGTTCTTATGTTCTCATGTTCTCATGTTCTCATGTTCTCATGTTTCTCATGTTCTTATGTTTCTCATGTTCTTATGTTTCTCATGTTTCATGTTCTTATGTTCTCATTTCTCATGTTTCTCATGTTCTTATGTTCTCATGTTCTTATGTTCTCATGTTCTCATTTTTCTCATGTTCTCATGTTCTCATGTTCTCATGTTCTTATGTTCTCATGTTCTTATGTTCTCATGTTCTTATGTTCTCATGTTCTTATGTTCTCATGTTTTATGTTCTCATGTTCTTATTTTTCTCATGTTCTTATGTTCTCATGTTTCTCATGTTCTCATGTTCTCATGTTCTGATGTTCTATGTTCTCATGTTCTTATGTTCTCATGTTCTCATGGTTCATGTTCTCATGTTCTCATGTTCTCATGTTCTCATGTTCTCATGTTCTTATGTTCTCATGTTCTCATGTTCTCATGTTCTCATGTTCTCATGTTCTCATGTTCTCATGTTCTCATGTTTCTTATGTTCTCATGTTTTATGTTCTTATGTTTTTCATGTTCTCATGTTCTTAATTTCATGTTCTTATGTTCTCATGTTCTCATGTTCTCATGTTCTTATGTTCTCATGTTCTTATGTTCTCATGTTCTTATTTTTCTCATGTTCTCATGTTCTCATGTTCTCATGTTTCTTATGTTTCTCATGTTCTCATGTTCTCATGTTCTCATGTTCTCATATTCTCATGTTTCTCATGTTTCCATGTTCTCATATTCTCATTCTTTTCTTTGTTCTCATGTTTCTTCATGTTCTCATGTTCTCATGTTCTCATGTTTATGTTCTCATGTTCTCATGTTCTCATGTCCAGTTCTCTTTGTTCTCATGTTCTTATGTTCTCATGTTCTCATGTTTCATGTTCTCATGTTTCATGTTCTCATGTTCTCATGTTCTCATGTTTCATGGTCTATGTTCTCATGTTCTTATGTTCTAATGTTCTCATGTTCTCATGTTCTCATGTTCTCATATTCTCATGTTCTCATGTTCTCATGTTCTCATGTTCTCATGTTCTCATGTTCTTATGTTCTCATGTTCTCATGTTCTCATGTTCTCATGTTCTCATGTTCTCATGTTCTCATGTTCTCATGTTCTCATGTTCTTATGTTCTCATGTTCTTATGTTCTCATGTTCTCATGTTCTCATGTTCTTATGTTCTCATGTTCTTATGTTCTTATGTTCTCATGTTCTTATGTTCTCATGGTCTCATGTTCTCATGTTCTCATGTTCTCATGTTCTCATGTTCTCATGTTCTCATGTTCTCATGTTCTTATGTTCTCATGTTCTCATGTTCTCAGTTCTTATGTTCTCATGTTCTCATGTTCTCATGTTCTCATGTTCTCATGTTCTCATGTTCTTATGTTCTTATGTTCTTATGTTCTCATGTTCTCATGTTCTCATGTTCTCATGTTCTTATGTTCTCATGTTCTCATGTTCTCATGTTCTCATGTTCTCATGTTCTCATGTTCTCATGTTCTTATGTTCTTATGTTCTCATGTTCTCATGTTCTCATGTTCTCATGTTCTCATGTTCTCATGTTCTCATGTTCTTATGTTCTCATGTTCTTATGTTCTCATGTTTTCATGTTCTCATGTTTCTCTGTTCTTATGTTCTATGTTCTTATGTTCTCATGTTCTCATGTTCTCATGTTCTCATGTTCTTATGTTCTCATGTTCTTATGTTCTTATGTTCTCATGTTCTTATGTTCTCATGGTCTCAGTTCTCATGTTCTCATGTTACATGTTCTCATGTTCTCATGTTCTTATGTTCTCATGTTCTTATGTTCTCATGTTCTCATGTTCTCATGTTCTCATGTTCTTATGTTCTCATGTTCTTATGTTCTTATGTTCTCATGTTCTTATGTTCTCATGGTCTCATGTTCTCATGTTCTCATGTTCTCATGTTCTCATGTTCTTATGTTCTCATGTTCTCATGTTCTCATGTTCTCATGTTCTCATGTTCTCATGTTCTCATGTTCTTATGTTCTCATGTTCTCATGGTCTCATGTTCTCATGTTTTTATGTTCTCATGTTCTCATGTTCTCATGTTCTCATGTTCTCATATTCTCATGTTCTCATGTTCTCATGTTCTCATGTTCTCATATTCTCATGTTTCATGTTCTCATGTTCTTATGTTTCTCATGTTCTCATGTTCTCATATTCTCATGTTCTCATGTTCTCATGTTCTTATGTTCTCATGTTCTCATGTTCTCATGTTCTCATGTTCTCATGTTCTCATGTTCTTATGTTCTCATGTTCTCATGTTCTCATGTTCTCATGTTCTCATGTTCTTATGTTCTCATGTTCTCATGTTCTCATGTTCTCATATTCTCATGTTCTCATGTTCTCATGTTCTCATGTTCTCGTGTTCTTATGTTCTTATGTTCTCATGTTCTCATGTTCTCATATTCTCATGTTCTCATGTTCTCATGTTCTCATATTCTCATGTTCTCATGTTCTCATGTTCTTATGTTCTCATGTTCTCATGTTCTCATGTTCTCATGTTCTCATATTCTCATGTTCTCATGTTCTCATGTTCTCATGTTCTCATGTTCTTATGTTCTCATGTTCTCATGTTCTCATGTTCTTATGTTCTCATGATCTCATGTTCTCATATTCTCATGTTCTCATGTTCTCATGTTCTCATGTTCTCATATTCTCATGTTCTCATGTTCTCATGTTCTTATGTTCTCATGTTCTCATGTTCTCATGTTCTCATGTTCTCATATTCTCATGTTCTCATGTTCTCATGTTCTCATGTTCTCATGTTCTTATGGTCTCATGGTCTCATGTTCTCATGTTCTTATGTTCTCATGTTCTCATGTTCTCATATTTCTGTTCTCATGTTCTC